GTTATCATTTTTGACGTACCTGAGTACCTGGAATTTATCGCTTTTGAACATCATGTTATTTTCTGCTGCCCAGTCGAAAACTATTAATAATATCTGCTTGTAATTTGTTGTTGTCTTCAGCAGAGGTAATTTTCATACTGATTTTTGTATCATCTGCAAAGGATGATACGGAGCTGTGACTTGTATTTGAGTCTATATCTGATATGAGAACAAGGAAACGCAGTGGTGTAAGGACTGCACCTTGAGGTACAGAGCTTTTAACTGCGCTTGGACTCGATTTCATATGGTGTCCTACTGTCCTACTTTACCAGTTATTCCCATTGGCCTCATTTTGTATGCTATCACTCCATGGTCACATTTATCGAATGCCTTTGCAACGTCTATATATACAGCATCTGCATTTTGCGTTTGTTCTAAGGCTTCTGTGATTTTGTCATGGGCCTCTGATGTTCATAGTTTTCTGAGACTGTTCAACACGCTTCCACAACACATAAGGGGCATAACTGGCCGACCCCCCACAGTGTTCAAGAGAACTTGATAAACACCTTCAAAGGATACCTGACCAACCAGGCTGTGATTCATACGTCAGGCTGCGAGCAGCCGCGTCTAACAGCCTGGTTGACCAGTCCAGGAACGAGGAGGCCTGGTAGAGGACCGGGCCGCGGGGACTCTTAAGCCCTGAAATCATGGCAAGGTAACTGATGGACCACGAGCACAGCACACTGAGAAAGAGAAGTTCACAGTATAGGCATACACTCGGCCCCGGGTCCCCCGACTCCTCGAATTCCATATTTATAAAAAAAAAGTTTAGTACCAGTAGCAAAAGGTGTGTGTAATAGGGAGAAAAAGCTATGATACACGTGCGGAACTAGAAGCACATCAGTCAGGTATACCACTACACAAGGGAAGAAAGCAGTGGATAAAAAGGTATAAACGTGACGCACTAACGTGATCAGGAATCACATCTCCAGCTTTATGGGGAACGTTGAACGTCACGATCCAGGTCAACAAGAATTCAGAGCGGGAAGATGCTGGTTTTCGCAATTACTCAACAACTCTGACAAAATCACGGAAGCATTAGAAGAAAAGAATGCAGATACACGCACTTTGCTAAGGCGTTTAACAAGCGTGACCATGGAGTGAGAGTCCATAAATGAGATCATTATGAATAATTGGTAAAGTAGGGCGACGGATGCTCAATTTCCTATCAAACAGAATGCAAAGAGTAAGTAAAATAAAAAACAAGAAACAAGTCCAAGTGCAGTGAAAAGGTGTGTACCCCAGGGCACAGTCCTTGCGCCACTGCTGTTTCTCATTCTTATATCGGATAGAGACAAAAATGTCTCGCTTGTTTATAATATGATATTGTTTATCCTTTGTGATGAAAAATTACTTATGAAGAAGACACAGAAGAACTAAAGTTTATATTAGTAGTCTACCCCTCGCAGTGTTCAAGAGAGAACTGGGTAGGCACCTCCAAAGGAAACCTGATCAACCAGGCTGTGATTCATACGTCTGGCTGCGAGCAGCCTCGTCCAACAGCCTGGTTGACCAATCCAGCAATCAGAAGACCTGGTCGACGACCGGGCCGCGGGGACGCTAAGCCCCGGAAGTACCTCAAGGTAACCTCAAGGTAGGTCTACGAATGGACAACTGAAAAAAAAAGTGATGTAAAACAGTGATTAATTCCAGATATTTAGGTATGGTAAAAATAATGTATCTGTACTTCGTTTAAGTTCAAGAGACAAACAGGTCTACACAAAGATGGAATGTACAGGTACAAGAGACAGATCTATTCATAGAATAGATCCAACAGCCTGGTTGACCAGACGACCAACTGGGTAGGCCTGGTCGAGGACCGGGCCGCGGGATCGTTGATCCCCGGAAGATACACAGAGTAGCCACAAGGTAGTAGGAAAGTGCAGGTATAAGCAGGCGACGAGTCACTATAACATGGCTGAAATATGTTGACCAGACCACACACTAGAAGGTGAAGGGACGACGACGTTTCGGTCCGTCCTGGACCATTCTCAAGTCGATACAGGTATAAGACAGTGAGATCTATTCATAGAAGGCAAACAACATGTAATATATCTGGGAATAATTCTGCAAGATTACCTAACGTTAGTGAGCATAGCCAAGCAAATGTTGCATCAGTCAGGAAATTAATTGGATGGATTATGAGGCCCTTTAACTCCAGGGATCATTTGAGTAGCCTTGAGTACTATCTTGAGGTTATCTTGAGATGATTTCATGGCTTAGCGTCCCCACGGCCCGGTCCTTTACCAGGCCTCCTTTTTGTTACACATCCCCAGGAAGCAGCCTGTAGCAGTTGTCTAACTCCCAGGTACCTATTTACTACTAGGTGAACAGGGGAATCAGGGGGGGAAATAATCTGCCCATTTGTTTCCGTCTCCGCCGGGAATCGAACCCGGAACCTTAGGACCACAAATCCCGAGCGCTGTCCACTCAGCCGTCAGTACTGCTTGCTACTCACTCCCCGTTCCAGAGCAAGAGACAAATTAAAAAATAAAAGTAATACAGAAAACCTGCGGCCCTCGTAGACACGATACGGGCTACAGGGAGCCGGTCGGCCGAGCGGACAGCACGCTGGACTTGTGATCCTGTGGTCCCGGGGTCGATCCCGGGCGCCGGCGAGAAACAATGGGCAGAGTTTTTCACCCTATGCCCCTGTTATCTAGCAGTAAAATAGGTACCTGGGTGGTCTCCTCCAGAGAGCACCAGTGTACACCTTCCCTCCCCCAGAGAGCACCAGTGTACACCTTCCCTCCCCCAGAGAGCACCAGTGTACACCTTCCCTCCCCCAGAGAGCACCAGTGTACACCTTCCCTCCCCCAGAGAGCACCGGTGTACACCTTCCCTCCCCCAGAGAGCACCGGTGTATACCTTCCCTCCCCCAGAGAGCACCAGTGTACACCTTCCCTCCTCCAGAGAGCACCGGTGTACACCTTCCCTCCCCCAGAGAGCACCAGTGTACACCTTCCCTCCCCCAGAGAGCACCGGTGTACACCTTCCCTCCCCCAGAGAGCACCGGTGTACACCTTCCCTCCCCCAGAGAGCACCGGTGTACACCTTCCCTCCTCCAGAGAGCACCGGTGTACACCTTCCCTCCCCCAGAGAGCACCGGTGTACACCTTCCCTCCTCCAGAGAGCACCAGTGTACACCTTCCCTCCTCCAGAGAGCACCGGTGTACACCTTCCCTCCCCCAGAGAGCACCAGTGTACACCTTCCCTCCCCCAGAGAGCACCGGTGTACACCTTCCCTCCCCCAGAGAGCACCGGTGTACACCTTCCCTCCCCCAGAGAGCACCAGTGTACACCTTCCCTCCCCCAGAGAGCACCGGTGTACACCTTCCCTCCCCCAGAGAGCACCAGTGTACACCTTCCCTCCTCCAGAGAGCACCGGTGTACACCTTCCCTCCCCCAGAGAGCACCGGTGTACACCTTCCCTCCCCCAGAGAGCACCAGTGTACACCTTCCCTCCCCCAGAGAGCACCGGTGTACACCTTCCCTCCTCCAGAGAGCACCGGTGTACACCTTCCCTCCCCCAGAGAGCACCAGTGTACACCTTCCCTCCCCCAGAGAGCACCGGTGTACACCTTCCCTCCCCCAGAGAGCACCGGTGTACACCTTCCCTCCCCCAGAGAGCACCAGTGTACACCTTCCCTCCTCCAGAGAGCACCGGTGTACACCTTCCCTCCCCCAGAGAGCACCGGTGTACACCTTCCCTCCCCCAGAGAGCACCGGTGTACACCTTCCCTCCTCCAGAGAGCACCGGTGTACACCTTCCCTCCCCCAGAGAGCACCAGTGTACACCTTCCCTCCCCCAGAGAGCACCGGTGTACACCTTCCCTCCCCCAGAGAGCACCGGTGTACACCTTCCCTCCCCCAGAGAGCACCGGTGTACACCTTCCCTCCCCCAGAGAGCACCAGTGTACACCTTCCCTCCTCCAGAGAGCACCGGTGTACACCTTCCCTCCCCCAGAGAGCACCGGTGTACACCTTCCCTCCCCCAGAGAGCACCGGTGTACACCTTCCCTCCTCCAGAGAGCACCGGTGTACACCTTCCCTCCCCCAGAGAGCACCAGTGTACACCTTCCCTCCCCCAGAGAGCACCGGTGTACACCTTCCCTCCCCCAGAGAGCACCAGTGTATGGAAGCATTACCGGAGGCGGAGAAGGGCTGGAGTCTTGTGTGTACCTGCGGGTGACTCGTAATAATCCTCACGTGAGAGTGGGTGGCCGAGTGACTCTCCAGGGGGGGGGGTACGACTGGGGGGTTGAGGAGGGAAAGTATGAATGGGGCAGACGGGGGGGGGGGGGTAAATGAGTTTGTTGCCACAAGATAATTAAAAATCCTCAATTAGCAGCCTTCCTACTTTCCCCTCCTGGAGTGTAACTTGTGTTAGTCGTGGCAGTTTAAACTACTCGTTCATATTGTGTTGATGCTGGCTTTTCCAGAGACTTTACAAGTAATAACCAAATATGGTGTGTGTGTGTGTGTGTGTGTGTGTGTGTGTGTGTGTGTGTGTGTGTGTGTGTGTGTGTGTGTGTGTGTGTGTGTGTGTGTGTGTGTGTGTGTGCACCCTTGTTGTCAACCTTGGCATGGCAGCCTTCTCCCTCGCAACTTGTGTATGGTTTAACACTAAACACTGCCACATAGGGAAGGACGAGCGGTGCTCACATTCCCACTACACACAACAATTATACCAGAGTGTTAGTAATATCATTTTAGTTCAGTGTGTGAAAGAAGCCACAATTTTAGTTTAATAGGGAAAAGAGGCCACGGTTCATCAGTAGTGATATCAGGCCATCAGTAGGTGATAAGCCACAATTTTAAACTCTTGTGGATAGAAAATTCAATAAGAAATACTTCACAAATAGTAGAAATCTGGAAAGGAGACGAGAAAGGTATCATATAATATCCAAGGAATATACTGGAAGGCCATCTCCCAAATTTGCACAGTAGAGTAAACCCACTTGGGGTTTCCGGAACCCGCTGGGTGGGCTCTGGAACCCGCTGGGTGGGCTCTGGAACCCGCTGGGTGGGCTCTGGAACCCGCTAAGTGGGCTCTGGAACCCGCTGGGTGGGCTCTGGAACCCGCTGGGTGGGCTCTGGAACCCGCTGGGTGGGCTCTGGAACCCGCTGAGTGGACTCTGGAACCCGCTGGGTGGGCTCTGGAACCCGCTGGGTGGGCTCTGGAACCCGCTGGGTGGGCTCTGGAACCCGCTGGAAATTATGAAAGTGGCTTGAAACGAAAAGACTCGCACATTACGAACGTTGGTCCTATCTTCCCTGCCCCAGATGGTTAATGGTCCCCCCCCCCCCTTCCTTCCCCCCATCACTCCTACCCTACCCCCCCCCCTCCTACTCCCCGTCATCCATGTCGGGGTTTAACATTCGGGTTCATCATGTCGGGTGTTGAACAGTAGAGGGAAGGATCGATTCCCCCTACTCCCCGTCATCCCTCCAACCCTTCCCTTTTCTGCCACCATTCCTCCCACACATCTTCCTCCCACACATCTTCCTCCCACACATCTTCCTCCCACACATCTTCCTCCCACACATCTTCCTCCCACACATCTTCCTCCCCCACACCTTCCTCCCACACATCTTCCTCCCCCACACATCTTCCTTCCCACACATCTTCCTTCCCACACATCTTCCTCCCCCACATCTTCCTCCCACACACCTTCCTCCCACACACCTTCCTCCCACACATCTTCCTTCTACACCGGTTCCTCCTGGAGCATACCTGGAGAGGGTTCTGGGAGTTCTACTACTCCCCGAGCCCGGCCTCGACTTGTGATAACTTGGTCCAACAAGTGTTCAGGCAGTGCTCTCTGATTGTGCCTATGGCACCTTTACTCTTCACTGGTTCTATTCAGCATTTCCTTCCATACTTTTCGCTCCAGTATGTTCTTATTCTACTGTGCAAATTTGGAACCTGGCCTTCACGTATCTTCCATGTATGATACATTTCTCGTCTCCTTTCCAGAGAATACATTTTGAGAGCTTTGAGACGGTCCCAGTAATGTAGATGTTTTATCGTTTGTGTGTGTGCCGTATATGTTCTCTGTATTCCCTCTAGTTCAGAGATCTCTCCTGCTCTGAAAGGGGAAGTGAGTACCGAGCAATACTCAAGACGGGACAGCACCAGTGATTTCAATAGTATTAGCATTGATGTGGGGTCTCTGGATTTGAACGTTCTTATAATCCATCCTATCATTTTCTTGTCCGCCGATATATTTGCTCGGTTATGTTTACTAAATGTCAGGTCGTCAGACATCATAATTCCCAGATGTTTTACATGTTGCTTTCCTTCTATGATTGTGTCTTGTACCTTGTGTGTCGTTTTTTATTTTCAGTTGCCTAATCGAAGACTTTATTTATATCGACTTGTTGTGTTTCAGTGTCTTCTACAGAGGAAATTTTCATGCTAATTTTTATATCATATGCAAAGGATGACACGAAGTTGTGACTAGTAATTTTTGTCTATATCCGAGATAAGAATGAGAAATAGCAGTGGTGCAAGGACTGTGCCCTGGGGTACAGAGCTTTTTCACCGCATTTGGACTTTATCTTGTTTGATTAACCGTCATTCTCTACATTCTGTTTGACAAAGTTGAAAATCCAATGCCCCATTTTACCCATTATTCCTATTGATCTCATTTTATGGGCTATCAACCCATGGTCACATTTGTCGAATGGCTTTACAAAGTCTGTGTATACAACATCTGCATTTTTCCCCTCTAAGACTTCTGTGATTTTGTCAGTGGTTTAGTAGCTTTGAGAGACAGGATCTTCCAGCTCTAAAGTCATGTTGTACTGAATTGTGACGTTCATTATCTTGAGGTTATCTTGAGATGATTTCGGGGCTTTTTTAGTGTCCCCGCGGCTAGGAAGCAGCCCGTTACAGCTGACTAACTCCCAGGTACCTATTTACTGCTAGGTAACAGGGGCATTCAGGGTGAAAGAAACTTTGCCCATTTGTTTCTGCCTCGTGCGGGAATCGAACCCGCGCCACAGAATTACGAGTCCTGCGCACTATCCACCAGGCTACGAGGCCCCATAAGTTCATTGTTCATCATAAAACTGGAGATTTGATTCCTAATCACTTATTAAAAAAACTATTATTGTGTGTGATGTTAGTGCAGCTAGTCTATAATTTTTTGCCAAAGTTTTACTACTTTTCTTGTGCAGAGGAGCTATGTATGCTGATATCTTCCCAGCATCTAGGCTCCCCATGTATCTAGGCTCCTACACCGAGCCGGAGACATTACTGACCTAGTGTGTGCAAAGATCCTTTGCCGCTAAAATCCACTCTTAAGTCACCTAAATTATTGGGACCAACTAAAAGTTCTAAATATGTATTCTCTAGAACGCAGGCGAAAGAGACAATAATCTACACGTATTAGAGGGATTAGTTCCAAATCCGAACACTGAGATTACTTCACATGAGACCAGTAGGCATGGCAGGATGTGCAAAAAAGACCCAAGCAGAGGTGCAATAGGTACTCTTGAGAGAGAACTATCAACATCAAGGGCCCAATACTTTTCAACACTCTCCCGCTACACATAAGGAGCAAAACTGGCCGGCCTCTCACAGTGTTCAAGAGAGAACTCGACAAACACCTCCAAAGAATACCCCGATCAACCAGGCTGTGATTCATACGTCAGGTTGCAAGCAGCCGCGTCAGCTGTTGCAAAGAGCCTGGGTTTCCCAGACGACCAATTGGGAGGCCTGGTCGGAGACCGGGCCGTGGGGCCCTTTGATCCCCGAAAACTACACAATGTAGGTCCTGACTCCATGTTACATTGAGCGCTCGTGCTATTTGTATTATACATTTCTTTATGAATATTGAATTCCACGAGTGAGGACCAGGGGCTGAGTGCATGGGCATGTTGTCAATTTATCTTTCAAAGTCTTCCGCGTGTGTTAATATCAGTTATGTCTGGCGTTTGGATGTCATTCCTGAAGAAGCTGTCCGGATCTTCAACTTTCATGTTGTTTATTGAGGTGCTAAACCTCATACTGGCCTTTACTCGCCCTCCTACACCGATCTCTCACCCGGCCACTCTACCAAAAACCTTTCACTTATAACTGGACCAGCTGAACGTTCTTTTATCGCAGGCAGGCCCGCGTGTGGGCGCTCTTGCTTGGCTGGCTTAGATGGGATTGACCTCCGCCCCCATCTATATTTATAAGAAGGGGAAAATTATCAGTGGAAAACACCAAGCCATTACGACTATATGTTTATAAGTGTCTGTCTAAGGTTGGAGGCTAGATGCCTGGAGTGGCCTCACCCAACTTTGTAGGGGAAATGGTCTGGGGTATGGGATGAACATAGGAGTAAGAGATCCCCAGAATTAAAGAGTGTAGAGCATGCCATGGTTACTGACTGACCCCCCCCCCCCCATCCACGACGAATTTTGTCACTTCCTGCCAGCTATGCCTGGCTAAATATTGTTAATATAAACATTTCAAAGCATTGTCTTGTAGTAATGATAAAAATGCATTGATCTCTGGAAAACTATTATATATGAAAAGTATTATATTCACCATACCTTGTAGTAGCATCATACAGACGATCCTTGCATAGCTTCAAAGGCCTTCTCAAGCCCCCCCCTCCCCCCCTTTTCCCAAAGCCAGTGAGAAACCATTATTTCTTTAATATTTCACATTGCTAAGCTACTCCTAATGGCAGACCACCTCCCAATAGGAAATTATATACAGTATTATATTAATACGAGAGAGAGCACACAGGTCATTCTGTCTCTGAGAGAATGACCTGAAGAGAGATTAAGTCAACAAGGAGAAAGACAACCAGAAAAACAGAGATAGTTACCGGGAAGTGAGAGAGTAGTGTGGGGGTAGTTACCGGGAAGTGAGAGAGTAGTGTGGGGGTAGTTACCGGGAAGTGAGAGAGTAGTGTGGGGGTAGTTACCGGGGAGTGAGAGAGTAGTGTGGGGGTAGTTACCGGGGAGTGAGAGTAGTGTGGGGGTAGTTACCAGGAAGTGAGAGAGTAGTGTGGGGGTAGTTACCGGGGAGTGAGAGAGTAGTGTGGGGGTAGTTACCGGGGAGTGAGAGAGTAGTGTGGGGGTAGTTACCGGGGAGTGAGAGAGTAGTGTGGGGGTAGTTACCGGGGAGTGAGAGAGTAGTGTGGGGGTAGTTACCGGGAAGTGAGAGAGTAGTGTGGGGGTAGTTACCGGGGAGTGAGAGAGTAGTGTGGGGGTAGTTACCGGGGAGTGAGAGAGTAGTGTGGGGGTAGTTACCGGGGAGTGAGAGTAGTGTGGGGGTAGTTACCGGGGAGTGAGAGAGTAGTGTGGGGGTAGTTACCGGGGAGTGAGAGAGTAGTGTGGGGGTAGTTACCGGGAAGTGAGAGAGTAGTGTGGGGATAGTTACCGGGAAGTGAGAGAGTAGTGTGGGGGTAGTTACCGGGGAGTGAGAGAGTAGTGTGGGGGTAGTTACCGGGAAGTGAGAGAGTAGTGTGGGGGTAGTTACCGGGAAGTGAGAGAGTAGTGTGGGGGTAGTTACCGGGAAGTGAGAGAGTAGTGTGGGGGTAGTTACCGGGAAGTGAGAGAGTAGTGTGGGGGTAGTTACCGGGAAGTGAGAGAGTAGTGTGGGGGTAGTTACCGGGAAGTGAGAGAGTAGTGTGGGGGTAGTTACCGGGAAGTGAGAGAGTAGTGTGGGGGTAGTTACCGGGAAGTGAGAGAGTAGTGTGGGGGTAGTTACCGGGAAGTGAGAGAGTAGTGTGGGGGTAGTTACCGGGAAGTGAGAGAGTAGTGTGGGGGTAGTTACCGGGAAGTGAGAGAGTAGTGTGGGGGTAGTTACCGGGAAGTGAGAGAGTAGTGTGGGGGTAGTTACCGGGAAGTGAGAGAGTAGTGTGGGGGTAGTTACCGGGAAGTGAGAGAGTAGTGTGGGGGTAGTTACCGGGAAGTGAGAGAGTAGTGTGGGGGTAGTTACCGGGAAGTGAGAGAGTAGTGTGGGGGTAGTTACCGGGAAGTGAGAGAGTAGTGTGGGGGTAGTTACCGGGAAGTGAGAGAGTAGTGTGGGGGTAGTTACCGGGAAGTGAGAGAGTAGTGTGGGGGTAGTTACCGGGAAGTGAGAGAGTAGTGTGGGGGTAGTTACCGGGGAGTGAGAGAGTAGTGTGGGGGTAGTTACCGGGAAGTGAGAGAGTAGTGTGGGGGTAGTTACCGGGAAGTGAGAGAGTAGTGTGGGGGTAGTTACCGGGAAGTGAGAGGTAGTGTGGGGGTAGTTACCGGGAAGTGAGAGAGTAGTGTGGGGGTAGTTACCGGGAAGTGAGAGAGTAGTGTGGGGGTAGTTACCGGGAAGTGAGAGAGTAGTGTGGGGGTAGTTACCGGGAAGTGAGAGAGTAGTGTGG